GAGCGGACCCATGAACAAGAGGAATAAATGTTTTTTATTTTAAGCCACTAAGAGTTTGTTAACACAGTATCACTGGACCAGAAACCTGACTGATACACTGGCCTACATTCCTCACTAGATTGCAGGCTCTATGAAGGCAAGAAACAACTCTGAGCCGAGCACCCAGCGTAGGCCTCATCACATCGCAGGTGCTCAATAAATATTGGTCAGTTGGATGTATGACTGAATGAATGCATGTGGGCTATTGACATGTCTGTCTCCCTAGCTAGCATGTGAATTCCTTCAGGCCAAGAATGGCATCTGATTTCTCTCAGCAACACCTAGCTGTCTCATTTCCCACACTGGGTTCTTGGTAGATACTCGATAAATATTTGTTAAAACCAAATAAATGGGATTTTGTGGGCTGGCTTGGGACTGAGTCCTTAATTTATGACATTGTTTCTATGGGAAAATGTATTCTGAGTGCCAAACAAACTTGCAAATGAACTTTTGGAACCTCACCCGTTCATTGGTTCAGGATTGCCAGTTTTGTGGAAATCCATAACTGAACACATGTGCTATGCTTTGCAATATGGGAAAAACTGAGAAACTGCTTCCAAACCCAAGATATTCAGCCTGCAAAAATTCGCTTTCCACCCACACAGACAAATTCAGCACAGGTTGGATTTGAGGTTCTAACAATAAAATACTAGACATTTTAGAGCTCATTGTTTATCTAATTGCTTTTTATCTGCTTATACTAGATGCCTATTCTTAACACCCAATCAAAAGGAAGTTAAGATAGTTTTCTTGCCCACCCCCCACTCCCAACAAATCCATTTTCTAGACACATATGCAAGAAAGCTCAACCTTCTCGAAAGGGAAAATAAATTATTTTTCTAAATAAATCTGTGACATTTAAAATAAACACAGTAGGATGCTCTACAGTTATAAGAAAACATTCCCCTTTAGAATTCCTAATTTTGAATGGTACTGGAACTCAATATGAGTCACAGATCTGAGGCTTAGTTTTATTTCGTCTTAGGCCACAATCAAGCCAGTTTGAAACCAAGTGATCTGATGTGGCTGGGAAGGGCCATCAGTCTAGAATGTTCTATGCACAAGTTTCAACCCACAACTGATAGAGTTTCTCAATCACTCAATCTACTTCATTCACTTAACGTATATTTTTTGAGCATCTACTCTGTGTCAGGCACTGTTCTAGACTCTGGGGATATAGTAGTGAACAAGACAGACAAGGACCCTCTGTTCGTGGAACTTACATTTTAACAAGAGAGGCAGAGAAATAAGATCGTTTCAGACCAGTGATGGGGCGGTGATGAAAATAAAACAGTGAGGTGATTATGAGTGAGGTGAGGCCACTTCAGACTGGGAGATCAGGAAAGCGCCAGCCACGGAAAGATCTGGGGGAGAATATTCTAGACTAAGGCAACAACAAGGGCAAAGTACCAGAGGCAGGAACAAGCCTGGTATAGTCCTAAGTCAGAAAGAAAGCCAGTGTGGGGGGGTGGAGTGAACAGAAGGGAGGGAGGCATGGGAGGCACAGAACGGTCAGACAATGTATGTAGGTCCTGTAGTAAGAGAGTTAGACTGGATTCTAAGAGAGAAAGCCAGGGCAAGTTTTAAACCGGGGAATGACATGACCTGGTTTAGATTTTAAAAGCACCCTTCCTCTCGGAAAGTACTGGGACAGGGGTGAGGGAGCAAGAGGAGAACCAGGGGAAGCCTGAGTCCTAGTTTTACAGAAGGCTAGAACTCCTAGCCCGTCGTCAATAAATGCCCTGGTGTCTCCAACCTCTTCTCTGACCATACCTCTTACTTTCTTGTGCTTACGAAACCAGCCTCTCCCCTGGGGATACAGTTTCCTCGAAGCCAGCTCAGGGGCTGGCTGCTTCCTCTCACTCGTCCTAAGTGTCCTGCTTGTGTCCTGCTGCCTTTTCTGGATGCTTCTTCTTTCCTCCCCTTTTCCAAGCCTGCCCCCCAATGCACCCCAGCTTGGAAGCTCAGGCAGTCACACCATCAGCCCACACCACCCCGAAGCCCTCCGTGTTGCAACCTTCTACAGCTCACCCCCACCCCTGCCAATTCCTTCCTCTTCTGGACTATTTTGCTCTGACACTGTTTCCACAGTCAGTCTTGGGGACTGTAATTTCCAAACAGATGACTGATCTAACACTCTGCTACCTCAGTTCCTTGACCCTCTCCCTACCAACGATCTTGTCTTCCATCCTACTTCAAGTGCACGACCGTACCCTAGACCTTGTCATTACCAATAGCACCACCCCCATCCACGACCTCCCTGCAGTCCAACTACTACCCTTTCCAGTTCCCCAGTTCCAACAAATCTTAAATCCAACCGCAACCTTCCATGCACAGATCCTGCCCCCTCTTCCCATACCCCACTCCCCTCCTTGGAGTTCACGTCCAGCTGAGAGCCCAGAGTCCACTACTTTAAGTAAAAATATCCACGTCAATACCATCATCCATCCCTTGGATACACCCTCAGTTCCTAGGCCCCTCTCCCCTCTCTTGATGTATTTCCTGCAAAGCCCTACCTTGCTAAATCTAGCTCTCCCCAACTCTATGACTACACCAGCAGAGCTGAATGCAGCCTTCGGAAGCAAAACCACGCTGAGTGTTCTCGCTTCAAAGGCAAGACGACTGTCCTCAATGGGACCCTCCTGCTACCTGGCAATCATTCTGTATTTCCCATCTCCATTCTCCGTCCAGCTCTCTTTCCTATCTTCTCTCTCCTCTCCCTTCAAACCTCCAGCACTTCCTCCCCCACCTCACTCTCACTGGTCCGAAGTCACTGAACATGACATAAGCAATACAAACTGACGCTGCACACACCTCCCCCACCCACCTGCCCCAGGACCCACATTCTGCACCTTCCCTCCTGTGACCAAGGATGACTTGCGCACCTCCTGCCCGAGGCTTGCCTCCCCACGCTCACGCTAGATCGCATTTTCTTTCATCTTCTGAGACACGACACTGTGCAACCCTTTCTCTTTCTTGCACCATCAGTTTCCCCTTCTCTACTGGAACTTCCCCAATAGCCCCAAAGCACAGTGTGCTTTCATGCATCTTAAAAACAACAAGACCCTCTGGATTTTACTTTCTCCTCCAGTGTCTGCTCCATCTTTCTGCTGTTTTCCTGAGCAAAGCTCCTCTGAAGAGTTGTCTCTGCTCTGCTCTCTCCTTAGTTTCTCTTGCTGCGTTAGCACCACTTGCCACAACGGCCCCTGTCATGGTCACCAACCATCACCTGCTAAGTCCAGTGGATCAGTTCCCTTCTCTTGCCCAAACCCTCAGCACCATCTGGCACAGCGGACTGCTCCCTCCTTTCTTGCCTTGGCATAATGGAAGCCACCTTCTTCAGTCTTTCCTCCTCCCTTTCTGGATGTTCCCTCCCCCTCTTCATCTCCCTGACCCCCAGCCACTGCACCACCTCTGTGCTCAGTTCCCCAACTACTGCTCCCCTCAATCAACATGGCCTCCCTTGTCTGGTCTTCAGGCTTCTTTACACCCCATCTAGACACATCTAACCCCCAAAATTCATCTCACCAGCCCGGACACCTCGCCCACGAGCTCCAGACCTATGTTTGCCAAAATAGTAGCCACTAGCTCTGCGTGGCTGATGAATCCTGGCCACTGCTCTAATTAACCCCTGCAGGGAGCTCTGCAAGTATAGACAGGGAACCTACCTAAATGGAACGGGTGGGAAAGAACACGGCAAACTGTGTAGTGGGCGTGTGACGATGAAATGCTGTTCAGGATCAGTTAATTTCTTTAAACTCTAGACTCGGCAAGCGACACGAAGGAAACATTCCTACCCAATTACAATGATGCATGAGCATCTTCCCGGCCCTGCTTCTTCTGTCTGCCAGTGATTCTGAGGGCAACAGTCCCATGAGGAAGCGCAGCAAAAGGCAAGGGCAAGTATGCGTCTTGCTGGTCTTGCTGCATCGCAGCTTTCGACTTCCTCCGGGAACTCCTAATTAATTCTGTCCCCACGTTTTTAGTTTGTTTCCGGAACCTCTTGCTTATACTGCATTCTCGCCCTCTCCCTTCATTGCCCTGGGCTTCCATCCCCAGAGGCTCCCCGGTTCTCTTCCCAGTCCTCTCTTCTTTCCCCAAACTGCCCCCTTGTTCAGCCTTCGGCTTCTCTGCACCTGTTCTACTCCTCCTTATCCTTTTTCACCTTTAAAAACTGAAAGCACCAAACTGACAGACACTGTTATGGTTTGGTTTGGTTTGGTTTGTTCTTTCTTTCTTTCCCCGACCAAGCTACAGCTCAGGCGCTCACTCTCCTCCTCGCTTCTGTAGTGGGAGCCCGAGTACTCGGTTGCCACGGCAACAGCGAACCCAACCAGGCCGGTCCCAGCGACCAGGAGCTGCCGAGGCAGGGAGGAAGCCACTACAAGTCGCCCCAGAGCCTGGGTGGGTCGTGACCATCGCAATTCAAGACCAGGCCCGGCCCATTCTGCCCCGAGACTCAGGCTGTACAGCAGGCCCGCCAGCCGAACCACGCATTCGGAGACAGCACCATCAATAACGAGGCTTCCCCCGAGCCAACCGCAGGCGACACATTATGAGGATCCCGTTGAAAATTTTCAAACATCCCTGTTCTTTTATCTCCTCGGAGGGAAAACCTTTTGCCTGTCTCCCCAGAGTCTTGGAGAGCTCTGTAGAAAGTACAAGCAGAGCTGACATCTCCAGCCTCTCCTTCCTCCTGTCGCCGCCCGGCCCGCGCGCACCCCCAGGCTGGGCACCCCTGAGTGCTCGGGTCCAACCGTCTCGCGGCCCTGGCACAGCTGGGAACATCGCTGAGAATGGGGAGGATTACCCCAGGGTAGCTCAGTCGGTGGCCAAGCGCTCGGTGCCCCCAGGTCACTGGAACGGGTCGTCAGAGCAGGGCAACAAGTGTTCTGCCGCATAACCCTTCCCCGGCCCCCCGCCCCAAAAAAGTGAGTTGGTGAGAAGGAATCAGGAAATACCTTTGTAGCAAACGGCACCAACCGCAGTGAGGGTCTGCTGCCGTTAAACACTCGGTGCAGGATTGATGCTTACTGCAGTTGGCAACACGAATTCTCCTCACCTAAAAATAAATACCACAGCGCTTCAGACGGAATCATAAGCAACACCAGAAAAACGGCAACACCTTATCTGATGTAGGGCCACAAAGAGCACATTTATCAACTTGAACTCGGAATGACTCTGTAATGACATGGGGCAGCAGTCCTCAGAATCCCCTGGGGAAGCTTTTGAAAGTGCAGATCCCCGGATACCCTGCTGCCCCCGCTGCAGAGACTCCTGCTGGTAGGTCTGGGACCCAGCCGAGGGGTCTGTATTCTCCGGTGCTCTCCCAGGTGAGTCTGATACGCAGTCAGGTTTCTGACCGGCTAATAATGATTTCCAAAGGGGCCATGGAATCAGGTCACCTGGTCCTCACACAGAGACAGTTGACCTACGGTCAGTGGTGCTTTGGAAATGAGCACCTGGGGATGGCAAAGGCTCTGACCCAGGAGTGTCCGCACAAGGCTGGTGCTGGACATGGACATGAGGAGAATCCCACACCCCCTCCAGGGTAACTCCATCGCTTCAGCTCCTGGCTCGCTTGCTCGCATTCTCTCCACTGGAGTTGAAAAGAAAAGAAATCACTGCCTGCCCCTCGAGCTGCCTCTTCTAGTTGTCAGGAAACAGCAACCCCACAGAGCAGGTGCCCATGCTGGGCACACCCAGGCATCTGAGACAGTCAGTCAGAGCCTGGAAGTGGGGTGGCAGGAGGCAGAGAGGACCCCAGTGTCGCATGGCACATTTTCTGCAGGCAAAATCCCACAGCAGGTAGTAAGGAACTTGCAGAACTCATTAAGCCAGGAAGCGCTACATGCTAGAAGGTAGAAGTAACTTCTTTAAAAGGTTAGAGAAACAGAGAGTTCTAGAAAGGGTTCGTGAGGAAAATAGGCTATCCTGAGGAGTACTCCTCAATTCTAAGTTGACTTCATGGAGGATACACTTGTCCATTTCTCACATCCTCAGTGTTGCTGAAAGATGTGGGGGCAGACCACCAGCCTGAGCCAGAGTTGACCAGAATGTGGCTATTTCCTTGTAGCTCACACCACATCTTTTTAATGCTGGGGGGGGGGGGTGTTCATAAATATGTAATCTCTCTAACCTTGTTTTCTCATCTGTGAAATGGTGATGGTGCTGCTGACTTCATGGGGTTATTACACTGTCTGGCACATACTAAGTGCTCAATAAATGTTGGCTATTGCTATTGTGTGAAGAAAAGTCCCACAGTCCAACAAACATGTGAAACCTTATACTGAAAAGGCAAATAGATTTCCTTAGAACAGGCTTCTGAGAGCCTTTGAATATGCTCATGATACTCCAGGAGGGATATAGTCAATAACATCTCCTCCAAGGGCCACTTTTGCCCAGAACACTTAGTGGAATATGAGTCTCTAGAACATTCTGTGAGAACCATTATACAGTGTACTTAAACAAACAACATAACTCTATGTAAAAGAGAGAACACTGTAAGTACTTACATTGGATCTGCTTCTCTAACTTAATAACACATTCTAGTGACTATTCCACAGCAATGCATAAATCTTCATGTGGTTATTTTCAATGGCCACATATTCTATGGATGTACCAGGGCATATTAGTTTGGCTGTTACTATCTCCCCAAGAGTCTGGGAAAGAACCTTCCTTAGGTTTTGCCTCTCTAGGGATTATACTGGCTCAACCAGAATCTTACTAATAGGATCCCCAGCAGTAAACCTAAGTGAAGAATGTACAAATAACTGGCTTTGATGCCCAGTCAAAAACCCTCCCTAGGACTTCAGGCTTTGAGTGACCAGAGGCTAAGCAGTTTTTACCTTCCTGAAAGTGAGGACCTGTCAGCTATCTGTGGCTCTCCCAGTGCTTCCCAGATTAGAGTCTTGAGTTCCTAGGAAAGTAGTAATGAGAATTTATGAGCTATTCACAATGTTTCAAAAAGTTGAATGGAAAAAACATGCACGGGCCAAGCAAGACTTCAAGAGTCTCTGCTTTGGGCTGGAATTTTATCAGCTCCATGTGGTAGCACAGTCCGTTCCCTGGCTGGCAGTTTTCAGATGCCCTTGATAAATAAAGCCTGGGAATGGGAATAGTTACTTGATACATGCAGTTTGTGGAGCAGACAAAAATCTTTCAAGTGCAGGAAGCCCAGGGAAGAAATAGAATGGAGAGCGTTGAGTGGTGAAACAAGCCACTCAAGAAGAGTCTATAGGGTGAACAACTGGTTTACCAACGTAGACCAGGTCCACTGTCCCTCCCAACGTGGTCATTCTGACATAACTGACTTTGCAACATGCAAAAGGCAATATGGCCTTTCTAGGAATTCTGGAGACTACAAAGTGCTTGTGTACCTACCTTGTGACTCTAACAGCACATGTAGCTTGCTATCACTGCCATTCCCCTTAGAATGAGAGACAAAGAATGGAAAGTGGGGATGGGCCAAGGGCCGCTGTTATCCCATTATATCATTCCGTAAGTCTCAATGATTTCCTTTGCACTTTGTATGTTCTGGTGGCCATGGGTCCAAATTACTGTGCCAGAATAGGCTGCTAGTTTGCACAAGTTTGGGATCTGGTCTCATTTATCACGGGCTTTAATGTCTGGCCAGAGTTTAAATCCCAGCCCTGACAAGGTCTAACACACACACACACACACACACACACACACACACACACACACCCCGGGTGAGTTATTTAACCTCTCCAAGTCTTAGGCTCTTCATATATAAAACAAGGGTAATTTTATCTCATTAAATTATTAACCTATTTCACCAACATTGTTTTTATGGGGGTGAACAAGCACACGGTATGCACACAGAGAGACCATATTTAGAATAGTAACTAGTACATGGTCAGTAGGGATTGAATACAAATTCGTTTTCTTTCCTTCCCTTGGTGAAAGCACTTTGTAAAAATGAAGAAAATGGAAAAAGATATTCTCTTTATTTCAGTAAGCAGAAGCAAGAAGAAAAACTAGAACAGCCAGATAAATTAAGAGAGGAGGGTGAGTGCCATACATTTCCTGGTTCATGAATGTGTATGAGACTGTGGCCTGATATTAACCCCAAATTCCAAAGCCAATCCCATTCGGTATATTCATAAATGCATCTAACCGTTCAGTGCCCACACAATAAATGGGTAAATTCAGTTACCTTGCTGATTATGCGCCCATTTGCAAGCACATCCTCTTCTGAAAAACTTGGCATTGGAAATACAGCCAATAATAAAATTGTCTAAATAGGTAATATTTCTTGCTTACTTGCTGATAGTAAGGTTTTTAATTCCATGTCTGTGAGCCACTGCGGGTCTTCCTGAAGCCTGCAGCAGGGTTTAAACTCGATAGTTCAAAGTAAAAGCTTCACTACTAGATAATGACATTAATTAAACACTTTTTACTCAGAAGTCAGAAGCAATAGTTAGCATTTTTACCTACCTCTTTCCCGGCTGTTAGATAGATGTAGATATTCTTCTTAGGATGAGGAACCAGTTTGTAGAAAACAGGTGTTTCTTCTTTAATTTCATAAATAACCTCTGGACAATTTGAAGTCAAATTCTCACCAAGAATAACCTATTTTTTTTTCAAAAAGAGAAATACGATTTCTATTAAATACATCAAACAGCGGGGTGGCAAGACTTGTAGTTTAATTCTAAGACCACGTGCTCTTTTACTCACTACATATATGGGCTGAGGTACCAAGTCCTTAAGCATCTGCTGTCTCAGTCTTCCACAAGGCTGGTAAGAACAAGCACAGTCATGCGCGAGCACACGCACCCACACACCCCAAACTTAGGTGCTGGGTCAGTATCCTCACAGGTAGAAGCTCGAAGTCCACAATTCCCTACCCCTTCTGGCTTTACAAGAAGCTACAAGAGACAGCTCCCTTAATACTATGCCAGGTGGGGGCACCTGGGTGGCTCAGTTGTTAAGCATCTGCCTTCGGCTCAGGTCATGATTCCAGGGTCCTGGGATCGAGCCCCGCATCGGGCTCCCTGCTCGGCAGGAAGCCTGCCTCTCCCTCTCCCACTCCCCCTGCTTGTGTTCCCTCTCTCACTGTGTCTCTCTCTGTCAAATAAATAAAATCTTAAAAAAAAAAAAATACTATGCCAGGTGATTTTAAAACCAAAGGAAGTCGGCTTGACATAGACTCTGATTCTCCTATACAATTCTACATACTTACACATTTTAAAGTAACCAGGACAACTGAACAGGCCCAAACAGGTAGGTATGTGTTTATATATAAAAATAGCTAAGTGTGGCTTTGAAATTGGACACACCTGAGTTTCACTCACCTCAGTCAATAAATGTCTACTGAATAGCCCCAATGTATCTGGCATGTTCTAGATGTTTGGAAAATGGCATTGAACAAATGAGTGGAGGGTGGGGGAGTAGAATCCTACCCTCATAGAACTTGGGTGTGTGTGTAGGGGAGTGGTGGCCAACAATAAGGAAATTATAAACTCTATTAGAAGGTGATGTAGGTCAAAATAAAGTGGGTAAAGACATAAGGAGGCATGTTCAGGGTAGGTCTCATTGAAAGGTGATATTTAGGTAGCTACTTGCAGGAGATGATGGAGTGGGTCATTTGGATGTCTGGGTGACATCTTGGACAAGCAACCCACTGGTCCTGAGGCCCTAAAACCTGAGGTGGCCAGTGTGGCTTGAGCAGAACAAGTGAGGCAGAGCGCAGTGGGCAGTGAGGTAAGAGGTATGGAACATAAGTTCTTGTAGGCCCGTATAAAGACCTTACTCTTACTCCAGGTGAGAGAGAGGGAACCACTGCAGGGTTTGAGCAGAGCACTGACATGGTTGGGGGCAGGCTGGAAGCATGGGTGTGAAGATGTGTCAGGAGACCATTACCACAGTCCTGGAGAAACAGAATGGTAGCTTGAGCTCAGGTGTATGTCCTGGCTCTATGCTTTGAGTACGATGTGCTACCTTGAACTAGTAACTTACTTAACCTTCCTGGGCCTCAACTTTCTTATCTCCAAAATGGGGCTAAGAATGCCTTTCTTATATACAACTGTTAAGGATCAAAGGAGAATTATGAAAGATGCTTAGCACGTAATAAATATACAGTGGATGTTAATGTTAGTAGACTGCAAGCTCCTCTTGAGTAGACACCATGTCTTAATGTTCTTTATACCCTCCCCTTGCCCAATGCAATACTTTCAAAGTCGAAGGTGTTTGATTACTTCATCAGTTTGAACACATCCATATATGATATCCACATTTGTGTCTCTATCACTGAGAACAGCAGTGATGTTGGGCACATGGTTGTAAAAGAAAAACTGGCACCTGAGACTCTTTTCAGACAAAGTCTACATTCATGCATCTACTGAGCAAGAACAATCCTGTACCACATATCCTGATGGTAATTACATATTTGCTATTTTATCAAAGACTCCTTATCATTTTGGGCACATGGAGCATCTTCCTGCATGTGTCCCTGCTCCCAGGACCTGGCCCTGAGTTTGTCTTGCAGTGGTGACTTCCTTCCAATCATCTGCTCTGGGTCAAGTCCATTTGGATTTGGTACAACTGGTAGCTCACTAGGAGCCCATGAACTGCCATTAAATGCAGGAGCAGCTCTGCAAGAGTCAATCTCAATAACTAAAATAGGACTTTAAAAAAAAAAAGTAGCAGCAGTTAGGTCCCAAGGGAGGTGGAAAAGGTCTGCACCTCAAGTCTTCTAAAAATGACAATAGCTGCGCCATTCAGTCCGGTAGCCACCAGCCACATATGGCTATTTAAATTTAAATTTAATTGAGAATGTATAACTTCCGTTACACTAGCCACATTTCAAGTGCTCGCTAGCCACATCTGGCTAGTGACTACCATACTGAAAGTACAGATACAGAACATTGCCATCATCATGGAAAGTTCTATTGGACAACATCAGCCTACCGAGAACAATGAATGTAGGGAAACATTGGGCAGGCACTGCCCAAGTGTGGGCCTGCCAGTTTCTTGTCTTCCCGTCTCTAATTCATAGTCCTTATTAATCAGCTCAGAGACAAACAATTGATCAGGCTCTAGAAAGTGGTCATAGAGAAGAGAGGAAACAGGAAACCAGTTAAAAAAAAAATTGATAAAAATGTTCTCAAGTGCAGCTCAAGAGAAGACAGGTTGCCGTCCAGGAGGAATTCATCACGTCAAAGGCATCATTGGGCAGAACCACCTATGATTCGTGCCAATAAAACCAAACCTGAATCTAATCAAGCCTTCAGTGCAAACTTTCATTTAGTATTAGGAAGCAGAAAGGGGAGGAAGCCGCTGAGTGACACCACAGGGAAACAAACAGCCAAATCTACAATGTGAGACATTGGACAAGACAACAGACTTCATTTCCCCAGTCAGTCAATGGTGGTGGCTAAAGGATGGGAGGGGGCCACTCTAGACTGAGAGAGACAGGGCAGCCACGTGTGATTTGAGGATCCTGTCTGGATACCAGTTTGAACAAAAATAGCTTTCAGAAGATATTCTTGAGCTAATGAAGAAAATTCAGCTATGCAAACGCAACATTAGGTAACTCTAAAGAACGACTGATAACTTTGTTTTAATAGCATCATGGGAATGGTTACTTAAACTGCCCATCGTTTTTTAGAGATGTGTAATGCAACACAGGGGGGTGAAATGCCACAGTCCGGGATTTGCTTCAAAATAAAAACATAATTTACAAAACACCACCACTCATCCATTTTAAGTGAGTTAGGAGCTACGTTGCAGTTTTTATCGGGACTTTGGAGCATGGTTGATGCAGATGGGTAAGGGCTGGCAAAATCTAGTTTGGGGGAGCTTTGATTCACCTGCAGATGAGGCACCAGGATTTTCTCTGGAACTCCGAATTATGGCAGGAAAGCCTTTCTGCGGTACCGTGTACCAGGCTTTACCAACCAGTTTCCTAAATGAGCTTCCTAGAGTGGTTTACACTGAAACCTTGTCCTGATAACTATGGATGCTGGGCTGAAATTGATTATGTTTCATTGATGGTGGGAGTGAGACTTCCCTGAAAGGTAACTGGGCATTATCTATCAAAATTATAAAGCACATACCCTTAGACCCCACAGCCCCTCATACGTATGTTGAATGACATATGTACATGGAGATTTAATGCATCACACATTATAAGCAAAAGATTGAAACAACCTAAAGGTCCAATCATAGGGAGCTGATTAAATATAGTATAAACAGTATAGTACTATTTAGCCATAAAAATAATTAGGAAGCTCTTTGTGTATATGTTTAACACATTATATTATGTGTGCGTGTGTATGTATATATATACACAGCATAAACATGTTTATATACATATATAGCATGTTTAATACATTGTATAATTGACAAAATGGGAGAAAGACTATCTTCCCCCTTTTGCTTGCAGACATCTATAAAATATCTCTGGGAGGATATATCCAAGAAACCCATATCCCTGTTTGCTCCACACGTCAGGAACGTGTGACTTTCACTGTCTATTCTCCTGGTTCTTTTGAATTTGGAACAATGCCAATGTATTATCTCAGAAAATAAATACATAAGATTTAAATTTGAAAAGTGAGGGTGAGTGGACCAAATTGTTTTTCTTTTTTCTTTTTTTTTTTTTTTTAAAGATTTTATTTATTTATTTGACAGAGAGAGACACAGCGAGAGAGGGAACACAAGCAGGGGGAGTGGGAGAGGGAGAAGCAGGCTCCCGGCAGAGCAGGGAGCCCGATGCGGGACTCGATCCCAGGACCCTGGGATCATGACCTGAGCCGAAGGCAGTCGCTTAACCAACTGAGCCACCCAGGCGCCCCCCAAATTGTTTTTCTTTTTGCTAGATTCTGCGGAGAAGGATCTCCATAACCCCAAGGACAGGACAATAGGAGCTTCTCATTTACATCACAAGGGGGCCCAAACATGCTACATGGAGGGGTCGGGGTCTCTGCTGCTGTGGTTCTCCCTCAGGTGACTCCAGGTCAGGAGAGACATGGCTTTCTTTCCCCTCTAGATTTCTATTAATATCACCTCCTCCCCCTCCCATCCACACAGCCCATCCCAGGGGCATCAAAGCAACACTTGGATCTTCTAACTGCAAAATTCATGTCAACATCAACACAGAGAAGAAAGCCAGCAAGACTGGAGCATGGGAAATGTTCCTTCCTAAGCTCAGTTTAGCTGGGCAGCTTTGGAGAAAGAACTCGATCCGTGAAGTGACGCAGGAAGTAACAATGAGTCACAGAAACCCAAAATGGGTATAGTTTTGTATAAAAGCAACTCATCCAATTCATACGCGTTCCTTGGGCATGATGTGGATTTTTATCTTTTGCTTCCAGAATTCCCCTTCAATATAGCTCTGATCTGAAGTCAACCTGAGCCTCTGCCAGGCATATTCTCATTTATCCCTTCATCCTTTGAGTCTCAGATATCACTTCCTCTGAGAAGCTTTCCCTGGTTGCCTTTCTACCTTACCCCACTGTCGTTGTCTACCCATCAGTCCATTTCCTTCAGACCACTTACTACTGTCTGAAATGGCTTTATTGCTGATGAATTCAGTTATGTATTTTCTGTCTTCTTCTTCCCATCACGAG